AGTTTAGCTTTTATTTCAGCTACTAGAAGGGTTATAAAGCCCTTACTCCCTATAATTAGAATTATAGAACTTATAGATATCTATTATAAAATTACTATAGCGAAGGAGACGCTATAGGTTAGTAAACTAAGATAATAGAGAGGTATAGACTAAAGGGAACTTATAAATAGAGGGTAGCGGAGGGCTAAAGAAGGGAAAGTTAGAAATAAGCTATATAAACGCTAAAAATCGATAATTAAGGCCTCCTACTAAGTTTACGTAAACGACTAAGTAGTAATAGGGTAAAGTACCGCTATAGTACTAGCGAGAGTAACGCGGAGCGCTATACTAGAAGACTACGGAGCGCTATACTAGAAGACTATAGAGCGCTACGCTAGAATACTACGGGGTAAGGCTAGGAACCTATAAGAGGGCTATTATTACGGGGTAAAGCTATTCCTACCGACTCCTAGGGACTAGGAGTCCTAGAGGGGGAGGTTATATTAGGACCCCTATAGAGCCACTAAGGGCCTACTAAGCTAAGGGGCTAGCTAGGGGCTAAGGGTTACGAGAGAACGTATATATAGGCTACGGAGGGCCCCCTAAGCTACGGAGGGCCAGAATTCAGATATATTCCGACCCCCTACCTATATTCTATTTACTACGGACTACGTACGGAAGACCTCTTCACTCTGCTCTAAATAACGCTCTGACAAGGATTGTATGCCTGTATCCTATATTGTCTGTATCCCATGTTCTTTAACGCCAACATCTTTTACTCCTACTAACAGAACAGTCCCAACAGCCGGACGTTCAACCTACGCACGCGGCCACTCAACGGTATACTATATTGGATCGCCCAACTGTTCAGCGGGCTGCTCATGTGGCTTGTGCTTCTTGTGCTTGACGACGCGCGACTAAGACGCAAAGCGAGCACTGGCCGGCTGGGGGGTGCTCTTCGTTACTGGCATGGCCATCTGGGATGCTGGGTACAAGTTTCAGCTGCCGAACGACGGCTGCGCCTGGGCCTCAATGAGGATCTTGGCTACACCGACGGGAGCGTCTGCCTCGGCCCCATGTTCCTGCACTTCTTCTACGGCCCGTACGACTCGAATTAAATCTTCTAGTTTTTACATCATAAAATTCGAACTCGCGAATATCCTTTCAATGTTATGGATCACCGCCTCGGTCGTCTCATCACGTGAATCGTGCGTCCAACCGTCTGTACATGGTGCTGCATTGTCAAGCTTCCACCGCCTTCGAGCTCTCATGACCCATGTTTTCACCGACGTCCCTTACAGAACCGCAACACAGACGTATGCATTGGCCCACATGTTGCGGCAATCCGCGCCGATGGCGGGGTTCCACCTGAATAAGTTCGCGAGGGTAACCTTATACCTCGTCTGAATCGTTGCGCAGGTCTGACCACTCTCGACGTAGTGAAAGTTTTTGCAGCTCTTCGTCATGCCATCCTGAACCGGGCTCGGTGTCTGAACGCCATTTCCAGGGTTCGTAGGGGTCGTGGGCGTATACCCGATGATGTTGACGCATGCATATGCGGTGATCTTGAGCCCTGAGCAGTTACTGAGTGCTTTGGGGTTCCACTTGAGGAACAAATCAACTGGCAGGTTGTATTGCGCGGATACAGTGGAACAGCGCTCGCCCGATATAACGAGGTGGAAACGGTTACAGTTATTGACGATGTCAGGCTGTGTTGGGACTGGCGTGGTAATGCCGTTGCCGGGTGCGGTGGGCGTGTGACCGATGACGCTGACGCACGCATACGCTCCAGCCCATAGGCCAGCACAGTCAGAGCCTGCAGCCGGGTTCCATTTGAGAAAGTCGTCCACCGAGATACCACTACGCACAGCCACAGTAGAGCAAAGGTCGCCTGACTGGATAAAGTAAAACTTATCACAGCTGGTGACCATTTTTGGCTGCGTCGGGGTTGGTGTCGTGATGCCGTTGCCAGGGTTGGTTGGCGTCGGTGTGAAACCTATAACGGATACACACGCGTAGGCATTCCGCTTGAGCCCGGAACAGTTACTGAGCGCTTTGGGGTTCCACTCGAGGAAATTCGCAACAGGAATGCCATACTTGGCGGAGACTGTTGAGCATCTGTCTCCTGACACGATAAGGTGGAACCTGTTGCAGTTGGACACGATATCTGGCTGGATGGGCGTCGGCGTTGTGATTCCGTTGCCAGCGGACGTCGTGGTGGGATTGGGGGCCGTGGACGTCGAGCCGACGACGCCGACACAGGCATAGGTGTCTTCCCAGAGGTTGGTGCATGCGGCGTTGAGGCCGTTCCACGAGACCACTTCGGCGGTGCGGATGAGGTGCGTTTGAGCAATGACGGCGCAGGTGTCGCCGCCCTTGACGAGGTAGAATTTGTTGCAGTTGACGACGATGCCGTTGTGGACGGGCGTAGGGGTCTCGATGCCGTTGCCGGCCGCAGTAGTTGTGGTCGGCACCACAGTTGTGGTAGGAGCCTGAGTGGTGGTCGCAGCAGCCGTGGTCGTGATCCCGGGCTCCGGCTGGCCAAACGCCTCGACACAATAGCTCCTGCCAGTCGCAAGGCCGCTGCAGTCACTCTTCACGGAGGGGTTCTGTCATGCGAGTTGATGTCTTGTCAGCAAGCTTCATCCCGTCATGGCAACTTGGAAGATAAATAATGACTCACCCAGCGGTAAAAGGTCGCGAGGTCGATCCAGTTCTTGTCGAGGATGTCTTGGCAAGAAGTGGAGCCATTGTTGTCCAGCCACCAAGAACAGTACGACGTGGTGTTCTCGTCATATGGCAGGCCTGGCTTGTCGCCGTCCCTGCTGCGGACAGACACGGCGGCAACCGAGGAGAGGCCAGCGACCAAGGCCAGCAGGCCTTTCCACGAAAGGACGGCCATCGTGATGGCCACGTGTGGTGGTATGAGGAAAGGGTGTGATGGGTGAGATGCCGGGAGGAGGAGGAAGGGAACCTAGTGGGAGAGGGAGCTTGACTGACTGACCGAGAGAGGGCTCTGTCGGCTCTGGCTTCCATGAACAAGACTTGAAGCCATTATAAGCTTGTATCGGCTGGGATCTGATCATGACCCGAGCTCAGACCTCGTCTTCTCGTTCTTCTTGGTGGACAGACGACTCTCACCGTCTCCCCTCTCTCCCTCTCTTGCCTCGAGCCCTCATCTCCGGAGATGCAGGACATCATTCACATGACGGGCTGTTCCCGACAGGACCTCGGCCTTGACATGAGAAGCATGGCCGATAGGGCTCCGGCCTATCGTACAACCGAACGGCTAGCTGTCACGGCTCGGCTACATCTGAATCGTGTGGTTTGGTGTTGGCTGAGGGGCCAAAAAATCGACATTCTGCGCTCTTTTCGGCGGCCTCCTCCGTCGCAGTGGATGAGTCCATAGATCAGTATGTTGGGTGCTGTGCCGTGTTGGCGGCGATGGTTGACGTTGTATGCGAAGAGGAGTCGTTTGCCAGCAAGGTAGGTATTCTGCATGCCCCAGGATTCAATCGGAAAATGACTCTCGAGTCGGCAAGATATGCAACCGTGACAAGCTGGATTTGCGGAGGGGCGGAGCGGATGTCCGATGAGCGTTCCTGCCCAGTGTAAATGCGGGGTACTTACATGTAGGTACCTGCCTAATGTACCGGTCCTCTTCTTTAGGCAGGGGCGGCCGGGGAAAGCGACAAGCCACGGCCCGGCCCCTACAATGCTTGGTTCTAGCGCCAATACCCTTCAATGCGGCAGGGGTCGGGATCCATTCCGCATATTTTAGCGCCAACTGAATTTCAACGACGAAGCTTGAGTCACCTGTGTTGCAAGCTTTGCTTTCCGCTCAGGTCACGCAGATCAACTTGGGCATGCAGGGATCCGCTCACTCCAACGTCTTTTACTCTGCTGGATCCGCAGAAGTCCGAATGTACCGCACCGTGTCCTGGTTGGTCGGCGGACACAATGCAGGATCCAGATAGGTGCATCGGAGCACCTCTCGCTTGAATCAACTCTCAACCGGCAACTCTGAGCCGCTCTGGACGGGACCCTGGGAAGTCTTGGCGCGCAACCCACAACCTACCGGCAAGGTCCAACACCGGCCGGAAGGCAGCCAAAAATCCATGCAAGCTTTGGATGTCCATGCGACCCTGGAACGCCTTGGCAGCGCCACGACAGTCTGTCCACGCCAACAGACATCCATCGTTCATGAGCCAACTGCCATTTTCTCAGAACCAATGAAGTAGACGGAGTGCGTGTCGAGGGTCTGCTCGTGATCAGACGATAATCCCTCACCTGTTATACCGCCCAACGGCAGAATCAATGGCCTAAGCATCTGTTGCGCTGGGGACTGGCCCAGCCAGGCATGTCGAGGTCCAGTCAAATTGGCGCTAGCTTGCCGCCGATGCGTTGCGCGACGATGTTCTTTTTTCACCGACCCCGACAGAATGATGTGGACAGACACAGACGGAGGCTGCGCCGACACCCAGTAGAAGTACATCAATACAGGTACCAAGGCCTAGAAGATGTGCTTTGAACAGTAAACTCCCTCTGCTGGGTATTTGATGCTCCTAGCTCTGACGAGTGACGTAGGATGTGATCTTTCGCACGGTGGTAGTAGGAACGCCTGGATCATCGGTATTATTAATCTAGACTCGGCTCCTCCAGTCTCTGGACACAGTCTCCAACGTCTTGAGCGTTATCTCTCCCGATTGGGCCGCTGATGCCCTTGCCTGTAACTTCTCAACGAAGCCATCCATCATGTCAATGCTGTGAGCTCCCTCAGCACACTCGGGGTGCAAAATAATTGGGGAACACACTGCCATGGCCCTTGCCAGGACCTTCGTCGATGCAATTTCATGTAGTCAGAGCCATTGAGCAAGAGCTATTTATTCTCACTTTGCACGTTGCCACCTCCTGCTGTGGCTTGCAGCGCCGCCGCCCGCCGCGCTGTCTTCTTCTTCTTGCTGCTCCGCACGCAGCAGACAACGCACGAGCAGATACAGGAGAAGCTGATGAGGGGAATACCAATGCAAATGAACATGTACAGGGACGCAGGCAGTTGGTTATTATCAACCTCGACGTCCTCGTATCTGTCGTACTTTCCGTCGGGAATGACCTCGCCAGGCGTCCATGTTGGCACCCGCATGCCGCTTGTGATAGAAGGCGGCTGGGGGGTGAGGGTGGGAATGTCAGAGGCCTGCCAGGTGATGGCCAAGGCCCTGTGCACGAGGAGGGTGCTGCCCGTGATAGTGGCGTTGTCCAAGCCCGTATCGGTATTGAGCCTTGATGTCCACCGGCCACAGCCGTCGTTGATGTATGACGCGACGAGTTCATTATGTTCAAAGTTGATGAGGGTGTATCCGCTACATGCTATTGTCAGCCAGGGATCGTTCGATCATGGGGGAGTGAAGGTGCGCACCTGTCGCAGCAGGCGGCCGTGAACCCGGCCGGGGCACCGGCTCTGCCCATGCCGTAGTAGACCCAGCCGCTGGGGCACACGCCAGGGCTAAAACGCATACGGCTCTCGGGGACGACGTCAGCCCAGCCATCAGGGTAGCAGGAAGGGTCGTCGGCGACGAGGACGGCGGCGACACCGTCAATGGAGGACGTATCATGGATACTGGTGGTGGTAAAGCGGGGGCAGCCGGGCGGTGCCACGAAGGGTGTGGTGAGGGCGAGGAGCGCCGTCACTGTCGCGGCGACCGACGGTGAGGTGGACGACATGGCGCTGTGGGTGAGGGAGAATGAAGTGTACGAGGGAGTGGTTTTGGGCTGGAACTCCATGTGGTTGAAAGTGTGAGTGAATAATCGGAGTTGATGGCTAATCGGCGACTTGGGCGCAGCGCCTCTATACCTCTCCTCTATACGGGGGCACATGAGAACTCTAGCCAAATGGATGCATGTGCAGGGGTCGCACGAGACAAATCAGCGTAATGCGTTGGGTGGGCTCGGGAGGAGTGCACCAAAACAGAACGCACGCACGACCATGCAGTCCTGCGGCACAGTATAGGCCTGCAGGGGTCCCAGGTCGTTCAACCCGAGGCTCCCCTCCCTCGAAAGCTCACAGATAGGCGACACCCGACTAATGGCAAGGATGTCATGGTTGGGGTCTTGCGCTTCGGTAGCTAGTTACTCATCGGCCTTGGCAAAGCTCATTCTCGTGCACATCCCATATCGCACAATAGCAGTCCACAGATGGCGTATGAAAGATGCGGAAGGATTCATATTCCTGTTCATGAGGAAAGAGGAGGGAAAAAAAGGAACGACATGAGAGCTCATGCTTCCCATGTCCTCTGGCAATGAAAAGTATGTCTAGGACCTGTCTATAGAGGCAGCATACATAAACCTGCCTGCGACTGCAGATTGACCATGACTGCTGATTGACCGACCGACTGGCTTTCTAAACACCGAGGCCTGTCAAATTGGCGTGGAAGGGCCCCTGGAACTCGGGGTTACGGATGTCCTTGGTGAGCACGGTGCCGTTGCTGAACCTGGTGCCGTTTCTCAAAATCTCCGGCTGGCCTACGTGCAGGGTCGGCGGTGGGTTGTTTATGACCGTGCCGTTGGCGAAGATGATACCGTTCCACGACGACACGAGGGGATTGTCCTGCGCCGGCGCGGCGGCAAAGCGCCCGTTGCTGCTCTTCGTGGGCAGCAGCACGGACCGCCTCTTGTTTATGTCGCAGTTCTCGCTGAGCGTGTACAGGTTCAGGCCGATGGCGAGGGTCTTCAGCTCGCCGCCCAGCTGGTCCCAGCGCTGCTCGTTCATGAGTAGCTGGCCGATGTAGTCGACCATGATGGCATTGGGGAACTGCGTCGGCGTGATTTCCGGGACGCCACGCCAGTAGAGCGCTGGGTTGTTCGGCAGTACCGCGACGGCCTGGATGCTGTACACGAGGGTTGACACTAAAGGGCCCAGCGTGCTGAGCCACTGTGACACGATAAACTTGCTGCGCGATCTCTTCCACCCTTCTACGGCATACTCGGCGACTTCTCTAGTGTCCTCCTTTTCGGACCAAGAGTTTGTCCACGCAAAGTCATCCTTATGATAGATGCCGTCCCCTCGCGAGACGCTTTGGGCTTCGGGTATGTTGCGCAACAAGTGCGCCGTGTCCAGGAAGATCAGAACGCATCCATTCTTGTTGTTGGATTCCATAAAGCTCCCCATGGTGCGTTGTTCGAAGCTGTTGATGTTGCCCGGGTCCACGGGGATGTTAGGGCACCGGTTGTTGATCGACTTTAGCTTGTCGAAGAACTCGTTCTTCTGCTTCGCCTGCCAGTAGATAGGCCCCAAGCTGGGCGTGTTGCGGATACCGATGAGGTACCGGAACTGCAAGATAATGACTTCGCCGGGGTGCTCGGCAGTGAAGCGATTAATATTATCGACCACCTCATCGAACTTCTCGCCCGACCGTCCGATAGGCGCGTCTGCCCTCTCGTCGTTGATATGCGTTGTCCAGAACTCGTAGTCGTCGCAGCACGACGGCGTCACCGCGTGTACCGTCTGCACCCGCAGGTCGAACCACCGCGACCCCATCTGCAGCTGGTCGTACGTGGTGAGCCCCTGCGTCTGCGTGTTTTCAGAAGACGCCCCCGTCAGGATCGCCCCCGAAATCCTGCTCATGCCCGCGTCGTGCGTGGCCGGCATCACTACATGCCGGAGCGGCCGGTCCCAGATGGACTTTTTGATGCCCTTCATCCAGGCACCCGCCCCGTGCGATAGCGATGTGATGAACCCGTAGTCGTAGCTGCCCGTGATCACCAGCGTCACCGGTACCTCCTGCTCAGGGACCTTGTACTCGCGCTGGCCCTGCCCCATGCCGCTCAGGTCAAACACGATACGCCGCGGGTACGTGTCGGGAATGTGCGTCGTCACCCGCACCACGAACTGCTTGCCGGTGTTGCCGATGCTGTAGTAGGCCTCGCCGTTGGTGTCCTTTGGATTGGCGCCGACTCTGCTCGTATACACGGCCACATTCTGCCGTGATTTGCCGGGAGGGATAGATTTCCAGTTAAACTCGTCCATCTGGTATGAGTGCGTCGTGGTCAGCGTGAACGTGTGGGGCGTCAGGTTCACGATGGTGATGTACGTCCGAGTTGTCGTGGTCGCGTGCTCGGGCTCCATCAGGAACCAGCGCATGTACTCGCCGTCGCGATCGGGTCGCTCGTCGCTGAATGTCCTGTCCTCTTTGCGGCACACATCGTCGGGATCTGTGTTGCCGCCGCCGCCATGGTCGTCTCCTCCACTGTCATTCTCGTCCATGAACTCCATCAGATCGACCGCCCAGTCAATCGTGCCGCCAAAATTCAGCTCCTTCGCCCATTTCTCGCGCCTCATCTTGGTTTCCTTTGTCATGTAGCCGACAAAGTCGGCCTTTTCCCGCGTGCCGTAGATCAAGATGTCCGAGTCGGACGCGGTGTCGAAGAGCCTGCGCCTGACGGGGTAATTCTCTGGGTTGTCGGTTTTAATCTGCTCAATCTCCGCGTTGGAGATATATCCCGCCGTCTCTGTGCAGGGGCCCTTGTACGCCTGCGACGAGTCCCTTGTGCCGAGATACGTGCACATGAAGCCTGAACAGCCGGGCGACACCATGCGGAAACTACGGCCGTAGCTGGACACGCCGACGAGCACCTTGCTTGCCGGAACGCCTGCCCTAGTGATCACTCAAGGGACATAGTGTCAGCGAGTCTCACTAGCTGAAGGGACTGGGGGCATTTACTCGAGAGAGCTCCCTCCGTAATAGTCTTGTTTACGTGCGATCGCACGCAGTTGCCTGCAGGACAGCCAGAGGTGGCCCATTTGTTGCCCGTGTCCCACTGACCGTGGAAATCATATCTGGTAGGGGAGTCAGCAGAGCTACCCGGATTCCAGCACCAAGAAGGTCAGAACCCACGTCATATACACAAAGTAGTCCAGGACCTTCGCCATCTCCTCAACGGGATAAGGTTTCAGGTACCAGAAAGAGGCAGGAATAGCCACCGACAGTTCTTTCCCGGTATTGCTCATCCTACGTTTGACGAGCTTCAGGAACTCAAGATAGTTGTTCGCCTCCTCTTTTGTGCCAGGCGGAACGTCTGGAATATCCGTTGCGCCAGGATATTCCCAGTCAAAGTCGAGACCGTCGAGGCCCTCATCATTCATAAAGGCAACGACATTAGTAGCGAACTTGAGGCGGTTCGCGGGCTTGGTTGCATCGCGGAATCGCCACACCGTGTCGGGTTCTGTACTGAAGGCCCAGCCGCCGAACGAGGGGATTTTCTTAACGCTAGACCCGAGCTCGCGGAACTGCTGCCACTGTTCCTTCATGTTCTCGTCGATGGAGATGGAGAAGTCCGGCTTGATGTTGACAAACGCAAAGTGCACGTGGGTCACAGTGCTGAGGTCGATCTGCCTCGCATGCATGCGCAGGCACTTACGGTTTTGGTTCCAACCCTCGAAATAGCCGACCTTGCGGAACTTCTCAGGCGCCTTGTCGTTGCCGATGATGCCCATACCGCAGTTGGACATACATCCAGCCGTCCGTGTTCCCGCGGGACCCGTGCCTTTCGTGCAAAACTCGGCCGTCGTGCCACAGTAGCCCCAAACACTGCAGCAGGACTTGAGGGGACACTGGTTGAGCTCGTTCCACGGCGTGCCGTCCGTCGGCTTGGTCGTGCCGGGAACTTGGGGGCCGCACTGCGTGTCAGGTATGGAGGCGGGGAAAGGAGGCGACCCCGTGCTGAGGCAGATGATCTGCTCGGCCTGCAATGCCCCGCAGCCGGCCCAACCCCAAGTTTTCTTGTTGAAGTTCTCGATCTGCTGCTGCGTTATGCCGAAAGCATCGGCGATGGCCCAGCAGCCGTCGCCGCTACCCACCTTGTACGGTCTACAGGAACCGTCGGCTCCGGGCTGGGGCGTGTCTGAAGAACTTTAAGTTAGAATCATTCGTCATGCTTGTCCATGCAGCAGAATCATCGTGGAAGTGGAGGGACTCACGATCTGGCAGGTCGCCCGCAGTGCAACAGACGTATTGTTTGGGCATGAGAATTTTGTCGCACGTCTTTGGGTTGAACTTTTCAAAATTGGTTAAAGAAATGCCGCAGCGGCTGGCCATTGACGCGCAGCCGTCGCCTTGTGCCACCTGGATGTCGCGACAGAGGGCTCGTTTGTAGGAAGACAGCGTCCCAGCAACAGGTGGGCTGACTGTTGCCGCAGCGGTCGATACCAGAACGCCCAGCTCGACCTCTACCAGCCCTGAGGACGGACCGCTGCCCGTCTGGACGCATTCGCCGTTTGTCCAGGCCTTGACTGCGCTTTGAATCTCGGCCAAGTCGCCTAGAGTGCCGACTGCAATGCCGAGCGCCTTCTGGGCACTCTTGTTAGTCTTGCACAGCTGTAGCATGCGGTCGCCCTTGAACACGCGGCCCCGGAATGTCTGAAGGAAGTCGAGAGCGCTCTCGTGCTGGATATTGGCGCCCGAGTAAAGACCGGCGATGATGTTGCCGGCCTTTGCGAAAAAGATGGTGGTGCCGCATGTAGCGGCGCGGTTGAGATACGACTCAAGCTGGCCGATGGCAGCGTCGAGGTGGTCGGCGGACAGGTCTCGGGCAGAGAGGATGTCGCTCGAACCCGAGGCCTCGGCCTCTAAGATCGTCTTCTCGACATTGGCGCCGCAGTTGTTGGAAGTTGAGAGGACCGAACCGTCCTGTCTGGCTTCAATGGTCGGCTTGGTAACGGACTCGGCTTGGGAACAGGCGCGGACAGGGATCGCAGCGTTCTCACCGCTGAGGTCGTTTTGGACGTTGATGTCGAACAGGAGAGGCTCGTCGCAGTATGACAGGGCCTCGAGGTGGCGGACCCTCGTCCAATTGCTCGGATCAGGGCCGACCTCGCTGCAACGCTGCGGGCAGTTGTCCGGGTATTGGCCGACGGCGTCTTCGTACACCGCATGGACATGGGGCAGCCCGCTGAGCCCGGCGAGGAGCGCGAAAAACGAGTGAGCGATTCCTCCCCTCATGATGAGAAGAATCAATGATTACTGCTTATATCAGTGAGCCCGGCGAGAAGATATCCGTGACGCCAACAAAGGGGGATGTAGAGCCAGAGGACGAATCTGCTTGGGCATCACGGCGTTTCTCTATTTATATACAGATGCCATTTCTTTCGTCCCACAACATGGGGATGCTAGTCCTTAGAGCTGTACCATAATTATCTATTAAATCGGATATAAGCTACTATCTTTGCTCTTCTGTGTAATTACACATAAGAGTCGCGACAAGATTCTTGGTCATGTCACTCGTGGGCTGAGCGGGTCAACTCACGGCGTCTTGAGGCCCTTCGTCCCAGCACGCCTAACGTCTCGCCACCCGGAATCCGCACCCGGGTAACCAAGAGTGGAAGTGATCCCCTCTTGATTCTACATGTGAATAGATCCAGGTACCTTGATCTCGGTCGAGTTTCCTAAAAGAAACAGCCGACATCCATATTACATCACTTGGCCTGCGTCCTGCTGTTGCGTCTAGCACGATGCGCTTGGTCGGACAAGCCAGGGCACATTCACTACACTTGTAGCACCAACAACTGCCATAAAAAGGCTGGATAAGATTGCAGCTGCTTATGGTGCCAAGGCGACGCTCCACGAAGTGGACCGAACCCTTACAACAATGGAGCGCAGCCTGCATGGATAGGAAGGTGTCCAGGTTGGTTCATGTCCCTATAACCAACACAGAAATGTGATAGGCTTAGCTGAGTTACCCCTTACTGCCAAGATTTCGCACTGGCCGCATTGACCAGAATCGACCGGGCCGCATGGCTGTAGGCTGCGCCGCAGAGGTGCACCAACTGCCACAAAGACCCTGAAGGCCTTTGCCGGAATGATCACAGGACCATCCGACTACGAATTCTTGAGCATGCACGGAAAATTGATGCTCACCACAATATCGCGCAGACCGAGGACACGGGGAAATTGTCGACATGGCATATGTTTGCCTGCTGCCCTTTGATTGTCTGGACCGAGCCCCATGTCGCCGCGAATGCTCCGTGAGAGGCCGCGAGCTTGAGCGGGACACCCTGCATACAGATAGTCACAGCTGCTCGTGTATCTTTCTATCAGGGCAAAACGAACCGGGATGTCCCGGAGCAGGTCCTAGTACTGCGTCGAAGCATTTGCCGAGCCTGTACTTGCAACGACCGTCCCAACGACACCTCATGTTATTGCTGTCAGCAAAGTCCGACTAAGCCCTGCCAAAGTATCTTCAACTGGAACGATATCTTTGCGGCTAAATTCGTCAAGTGAAAGAAGGGCTTCTATTTATATTAGATCCAACCGAAGAATAATCGTGGATTATTGAAGCAACCCGACGCCATATGTCATAGTTGGTGAAGAGGTTCTAGCTGTGGGGTAGCTGTTGAAAGCTGCTGAAGGCCTTGAGAATGTCAAAGCTCTCGAGGAAGCCAGTGAGGACCCGAGGACTCGAGGTCGACATGCTCTCCTTCCAATGCTTTAGGTATCACACCACTGCAGACTGTTCTCCCTATGTCTGATAGAAACTTCCTATCCTAGTCTGGCGTCAATGACAGCAGTGGCGCAGCAATGACGGGCCATTATCTAGTATAACTCCTGTGTCTGTTGTGCCAAGGCAATGCATCTTTATTCCATGAGCGTCCCCGCAGCGCTGCAGAGAGTCATGCCATCGTTGCACCAGCCTGCTTGAGCCCTCATACGGCAAATATGAATGGGGGCGTGCAGCACATATGGCACGAGCAACAGCATCAGGGCTCATTCCGGTTGATTGCCACTCTGTGTTGGGACCTCGGGGAGGTGCCCGAAGCAGCCGACAGGTTCTAGAGGGCAACTAGTAGACGGATACTTCATCGGGGTATCGCCTGTGATGCACGTTGGCGGTAAAGTGAGGGGGGAACCGTTGCAACACATGCGTTGGCCGAGGCCTAGATTTCTATCCCCCTGCTTGCCCGACTCGAGTTCAGCTAGTCAACACCATGCACGCCTGTATAGGTAGTTGAATTTCCGTTCAGTAGGTTCGCACTGAATATAAATATGGTCAGACATCACGCAGTACATCGTCGTCATTCATTCCAGCTCACCCATCATCTCTCTCTCGCCTCTTTCTACACGCTTAAAGCTGATAAAATACCCGGCCCCTAAAACAAGTTTCAACGGAGGGACCTAAGCGGAGCGAGCGAGCTACTAAACCGCCGGAAGAACGTTATTACGATCCCTATAGTAATAGCTTATAGGGGCTAGCCCCTAAACCCCCGAGGTCTCGCTACGCTCGTATTATAGATAATATTAAGAAATATTATCTATAATAAAAAACGTATATTATAATTATCTAAAAATATAATAATAGACTATATAGTAGTATTTATATATTAGCGTTAGGGTCTAGCCCTACGTAAATTATTAACTTAGCGAACTCGGGCTACTCGATAAGCTCCTCTTCCTCCTCCACCTCCTCCTACTATTACTACTACTACTATTACTCTTATTACTATTACTATTATTACTATTACTACTCTTATTAGAGCTCGAGGCGTATTATAAATATAGTAGCCTATATACGTTTAATATTAATATTAACGCTAGCCCGCTAAGTATCCGATATCGTCTTAAACTTCTACTTAAGCTACTTAAAGTCTAGAGGGCTAATAGACTAAAGTAGGGCCTTTTATAATGCCCGACTAGGCCGTCACTAGGAAGCTCTAAGCAGAAGCCCCGTATACGACTAAACGTAGAGTACGGATTAAAGGGATTACTTACGTAACCGTAACTAGATTACGATATTTAAAGTAATCCTATTACTAACCTAACTATAATCTACGATAATAGGATTACGATAGTACCCGTAAACTATCTAATATAGACTTACTACTTAATTAACTTAGGATAGGGAAATAGGTATAAAAGGATAGATATTCTTATACTTATAGATATATTCTTTCTCCCGATAATAATTAATCTAAATCTTACTTTATATTTATTATAATAAATATATAATACTTTACGATATTATATCGTCTTAGAGTTATAACCTAAGCTTCTATTAATAATAACCCTAACCCTCTCTAATAGTATTCCCCTTTAAAAGCTATTAGGTCGTAATATTTTAATTACTCTTATTTAGTAAGTTTACTTTATAATACTAAGTAATATTTACTATAGGAATAATATCTACTAATAGTATCGATAATAGTATTAATAACTAAGCTACTATAATCTAGGAGCTTAAAGCTAAGAATAAGTAACTTAGGACCTTAGTATAATAGCTTTAGGGCGGAGGAACGAATATAAAAGCTCTCCCCCTTTAATCCTTTAATAAAAACCCTCGAATACTTTAGTCCTATATTACCTAAGTATAATAATACTATAAAGCTAATAAAAGTAATCTTAAATATTAAAGAGAGAAGGTCGTTAACGTATCCTCCTACCTTAAAAGGGATATACTATACTAATTTAAACCCTTTATTAGAGATTATACTATTTATATTAAGAAAGAGGATATAAAGTAGATTACCTAGGATATCTATATTAGAATAAACGCTTTCGAGGAGGCTATTAAAAGCGCTTTCGGAGATATAGACGAAGAACGTTAAAATAAATGAAAGATCCTCTTACTTAGATAAACCGAGCTTACTACTAAGTATACTACGGAATTTCGACTCTTAGTTACTAAACTCGATTAGACCGAGTCTACCTTTATAGCCCGCTTCTATAAAGGACTTAAGGATATCGTTAAAGACGACCTTATTAGAGAAGATAGACTAAATACTTTAATGGAATATATTACTATAGCTATTAAAATTAATAACCGATAATATAAACGATATATCGAAAAGGGACGTAAGCTTATTATAAGGCTCTAGAATCCCCGGGTCTTTTATTACTATTCTAATTAAGGACGTAAATATTAATACGAGAAACCCTATATTAATATAATTTAAGGATAGATTATTTACTTAAGACTTATAGAATTAGATAATACTTATTATAATAAAGCCCTATCTATTAAGGATATTAAATACTATAATTATAGAAAGAATAGATATATAACTTATAAATACTAATAATTTAAGAAACTATAGAAGCTTATTAATAAATAATAACTTAATTATATTTAATATTAAGATTATATTAATATTAACTAGACTTTCTATTATTAAAATAATTACTTAATTTATAAAGATAATAAGGAATAGAATAAATAGTTCCCCTAAGTATTTATAGGAAAGAGAACCTTAATTATAATAATTATTATTAAAAAGGAAAAACGAATTTAGAAATAAGCTTAGCTGGTAATATCGGAAACTTAAGAAATCGATATAGATAAAGAAAAGGCTTACGAATAAGCCTATCTAGAACCTTAATCTATACTCTATATTAGACTTATAAACGACTAAGAATAAGATATATATATATAAGTAAGCTAAAAAGAGGAGCCCTCTCTAGGATAACTTTAGCTCTACGTCCCTATATAAAAATACGCTATTAATAACCTTAGCGAATTCTACGACCCCTTTATACTTTAGGATAAACTAATCTACTATAGAACTTAATTATAGAAATACTATAAGACGGAGAGTATTAAGGAAACCGTAAAATTAATAATAAAAGACTATCCTATACTCTATTATACTTATATAGAGTACTTTATACTATTCTAGCCTAAGTACGTATATAACGATTACGAATATTACCTCCGAAAGAAGAATATATACTATTTTATACTCTATAATTATTAATATAAACCTTATATAAAAGTAGAATTTTAGAGGCTAAACTATAAATAGATTTTATATATAGATAAGCGAAACTATAGACGATTTACGTTTAAACTAAACCCCGCTTATTATAATAAATACTATCCTATAGATATATAATAGGAAGATTACGATAATGATATATACTTAGCTTACTATATAGTTAAGGCTAGAGATTAAAGGCTTTATTATATAAAGTATATTAAGAAACCCCTTTTCTAAGTATACTATAAAGACGAC